GAGTACGTGGTGATTCCGTACCACTTCGAAGATGGCCTGGACAACACCCGGAAGGAGGCTTTCCGCCTCGCGGTGCAACGGTGGCACGCGAAGACGTGTATTGCCCTGGTGGAGCAGGCTGCGGCCAGCATCACGCGGCCATACATCAAGGCCGACCGGTAAGAGCCATTGGTCAATGGCCCCATTTCAGGTACCGATGTCTTGGAGGGTGCCATATAAAAATATATAAAAACCATAGGAGGCATCAATTTACATAACCCTGAAATTTTAAGCTGAATGTGTGGTATGTACCTCCAAGTCAGATTCCTGAAATGGCCACTGAAATTGGGGATATAACATGGGTGGTTTGATCTTTGCTTGTTTCCCCTGACCAAAAAGGCATGTTTTCATTGCTTGAAGAAGGGATCATAGCCAAGAAAACATGGGGATATGACATGGGAGAATCTGATGGGGCAATTTGAGTAGGTAAAATTAAGAGGAAAAAACTGATAGTCCATGGCAAATGGGGTAATGGAGGATAGAACATGGGGATATTTGATTGGAATATTTGATGGGGGATATACCTTAATTAAGCAACAACCATGGGAGATACAACATGGGAATATTTGATGGGATACCTGAACTAACCAAAAATATATGATTCCTGTGTCTGTCTCAAAAATGGAGGTGTAGAACGAACCATGTAATGGCGATGAAAAGGGAATATCGTGGGGCAAACATTATTCAAAAAGACCGCCAATTTACGGTCATTTTATGGGAAATGTGGATAAATCGCTTGAGTTTTTTCCCCCGTATTTCTCAGACAACTTGGGGAGTTAGCTTTCTGCAAAGTATGCCAGTTGCAGGGATTTGTTTGTCAGTTACCATCCGGTAAACGTTTACATAGCGATGGAACTCATCATTTTCAATAGGTACATCATCTATAAATACCGTAGTTTTGTTTGGTTTATTGGAGGGTATGACTCATGCATATTGGAGTTTCAGATAATGCGATTCGAATCGCAAAACGCTTGAGGTTGGAGAGTATGACTCAGGCAGCTGCTGGTTGAGCGGCATGGGATGGCCTGGATTTTGGGCCGGCAGTCCTTACTACAGCAAGATCAACTTGGGCTGGTGCAAAGACACGTCGGCGTTGGGAAGTATGGTCCATGAGATTGGGCATGCCATTGGCATGAATCATGAGCAAAAGCGTGGTGATGCGGCGCAGGAGTTCCAGGGGCATGGCCCACATTTGATCATGCACTGGGGGAATATTGATGCCAGTTGGAAGAGTCAGTACCTACCTGACTTCAAGACCTACATTGGCTCTACGAACCAAGGCCGGAGCTGATGAGCCGTGCTTTGGGGGTGATTTGAGGAGATTCTGAGTATCATGAGGTCAGTTCTGTGGCATGTTCTTGCCGACATTTTGATGCTTGCTTCCTGGAGCCAGGCGCCGACGATGCATTCTCCGGCTATGCACCCTATGACTATGGCAGTATCATGCACTATGGGCCAGGTGATGCATATGACACAAACCCGCGAGAGCTGGAGAATCTCATGGGCAACCGCAAGCATTTGACGACTGGAGATATCGAGCAGATTTTGGATGTATACCAGTGCGTTGAGATTCCAGCCCCTTGGCGGAGAATTGCTGGTGGAGTTTCAGTCAAGTGAGGTAACAGGTAGCCTTTATATAAATAAACTCTTGCATCAACATGACATGCATATTGGTTATTACAGGCTGCCAAGTGGATGATTCCAAGCAAAACCCCCATGAAAGCCTGGTTAGTGGATCTATTCATTTCGTGGGCCCGTGTGGGTCGACTTTCATATTCGGGAGATGGGATTAGTATTACTATTATTACTACGTATTATATATTACTATTATTCCTTATTTATTTATTTATTTTTTTACGTGTTTTCTCATTATATCCCAATGACATCATTGACATCTCATTTACTTTGTTACAGGCCTCTTTTAACACATTCCAGGACTATGTGCCGCCCTTGCCCTGTGACTTCGAGCACTTCAGTATGTGCTACTGGAGTGCCTTTGATGAACGGGAGGTGTTTCACCTGGTGAGGGTTGAACTGCGTTTAACATAGTTTAATTGGGATGATTGTGAAAAGTGGAACCCCCGGACCCTCGCCTGAAAATTGGAACGTAGCATGCCATTTCTTTGAGGCTGATGATCAGAGTTTGGGTGCTCCAATCCCCATGGTTGAATCAGGCAATCTCGGTGAGATTGGATGGGGCAGCAATTCCGGCGGAACACCCAGTTCCGGCACTGGGCCAGATGCTGCAGCAAGTGGCACAGGCTACGTCTATACGGAAGCAAGTGGAGTCTCGGTTGAAAATATCGCTTGGGCAGGATCAGCATTCAGGTATTCAACAGGGATTTCTTGCCAAGCGGCGATAGTGGCAGTCTTCCAGACCTGATGAGTTGCGAGGAGTGGTCTTGGGTTCCTCTGATTTTTTGCGCACGTGCTTTGCCTTTCTTTGCCGTTGTTTGTGTGTGTTTTTGGCGTCCTGTCCTTTTCTCTGCAATCCGCAATTTGGTCCTTTCTGGTCCTGTCCTGTCCGTCTCTGCCTGTCTCTGTCTGTCCCGGTCTCTGCCTGTCCATGTTGTGTTCGTTACTTGGTCACTGGGTGGCCATGTTTTCTTTGTTGGGTCTACTTCCGTTGCTTTTCATGGAAAGCACATCCTTACTATCAGAGGATTCTGTTGATGCATCGTTAAAATGCCCACAACAACCAGCAGCAGGGTATGCTGCTCCCCAAAAGGATGAGCTTTGGCCGGCGCCACGGCCAAGGTAGCGCGAATCCTGACAAGGTGGCAATTCTTCAGAGCCCAGCCCTGAACCCAATGGAGACCTACACCCTGACCTTCCAATATCATATGAAGGGTGCATCAATGGGCAAACTGGGGGTTGATGTGGAGGAATCTGGTGCCTTCAAGAACCTTTGGGAGGTGTCCGGCCAGCAGGGTGATGCATGGCTTTCCAAGTCCCTCACCATCTCTGGAGCTTCTGCGGTGCGTTTCGTGGGGGTCACTGGATCTTCCTGGTCTAGTGACATGGCCCTAGATGCCATAGACATGGTGGCGACTGGTCCCACAACCTCAACCACCACGACCATGACCACCACCACCACCACGACCACAACCACCACCACCACAACAACAACCACAACTACCACGACAACCACCACCGCGACCACAACTACCACAACTACCACTACGACCACCACCACCACAACGACCACCACCACGACCATTCCAACCACGACTACGACCCCATGGTCGTGCCGTGACACCTACGTACTACAGGCCTTGAGTCCGGAGGCTTCTTGTGCAGTTTGGTCCACCGACAGTAGCAATGGTGCACTTGCAGGCGGCAAGAGCTTGGCTGCAGCGTGCTCCTTGCCTGACATGTTTGGCCAGCTAGAATCCGCAGACTTGCCGTGGTTTGTAGCCCCTCATTCCTCGCTGGTTACCCTACGGTCATCAAACATGGCAATGAACATTTCCGCCTTTATGATTATATGATTTATAAAATTTTCCCATCAAAAAGGGGATTTGGGATTTCCTGTTTCCCATACATCTTTAAACATGATTGATGAATCATGAGGACCTACCCGATGCAGGATTCGATGACTGTAACAAAAACACAACGAGAGACCCCAAAAGACCCCAAAAGACCCCAAAAGTGTGAAGGAGTTTCTAGACAGTGCAGGACGGAACAAGATAGACGACAAGGCTTCTTTTCAAGATCCCCGTCAAACGATCTTTGCAAACGGTTTGAGAAAGATCTCATGAGAAAATATTTGCAGAAGGTCTCTTTACAATATCCTTCTAGAAGACCTCGGTACAAGGTCCCTTGACTCCCCTGTCTCCTGACAAGATCTCTAAAGTTCTTTACACGATCCCTTGAGAAGACCTGTTTCCAAGGACTCTCTTCATTTTTTTTCAACAAATCCATTCAGCATGTCTGACTTCTGCAAAAGATCTCTGTACAAGATCAAATTGCAAGGCCTCGTCAGAGGATCCACAGGGTCTTCTCAAGATCCCCGTAGACCAACTTTCTGCACAAGGAGTCTTGACAAGATCTCGAGAAAGCGGATCTCTGTACAAGGTCAGAAGCATCGACAACTTAGATCTGGATAGCTCATCGACATGATCGAATCATGCCGCCCTGCACCCCTTGTCGTGCTTGTTTGACATGTGCCGAACATTGGAGCATTGTAAGGTCAAGAATCCTTTGGCCAACAGCAATGTGCCAAGACCTGCGGATGTGGAGCACCTCTACACGCCCCCAATGGCTGTGATTTTGAGGGTAGCCTTTGCGGATGGAAGAATGTGGCCCCAGCAGCATGGGTGCAGCACTCGCAAGGTGCGGGGGGAATCCAAGTTTAAGGGATTCTTCCAAATTACTTAGGCGGTCTTACTTGGGTAACAAACAGGATTTGGTTTCGAGCGTTTTTTGAGTAAATTTGAGCATCTCGATGCCACGAAACGTATTTTTTTTCTTTTTTTTTTGGGGGGGTGCTTTTTTGTCTGGAGGGGTTGGGGGTGGGGTGGGGGGGTAATAATGTTCCTTGAGACATCCTTTTCTTGATTCGCAATTTCAAGATTTTTGTTGTCTTTGATCCAATAGTGGGGATTGCGACCATGCGAATAGCATGTCCATGTTGAATGGCCTGCCTGGATAAAAAACCACTTCACCATTGATCAAAGTGCATCAAAGTCAACATGATGCACGAAACCATAGGGCCGTCGATCAGCCGGACCATGTAGTTCCTATAGGCCGCTTGCCATGCTTCGATGAGTCATAATTCATAATCCATGCGACAACCTTGAGTGTATTCAGGTATATATATATATGTTTCTGATGGATTAAACATTTTTGAACAATTTATGAAGCTTCAAGCCCTTGGTGCCGGCATATACAAGAAACGCCTTCCCCGACGGATCACGAGGTACCAGCAGCCCGGGCACCGGTCCCAGCGCTGCCTTCGACGGGTCCAAGTACATCTATGTGGAAGCCAGCGATGCTCAGACTGTATCCAGCTCAATGGCTTGGCAAAGTCCAAATTCCTCCGATCATCAAGCCTGGCAAATCCACGCACTAAATGACGGTTGAATGGGAAGATGATCATCGATAATAAACGAGGATTTTCCATGGCCATGTTTGATCACAAATACCACAGGGATCTGTCAAAGAATATTCGTGCAGAATAGACAGACACATGTATGAGGTGTATATATTATATATATATACGTATATATGTATATACGTATATATATAATACACTATAAACATCCCGGCGGAAGGGAAACCGCGCGAGCGTTTTGATTGGTTGCTTCCAGGAGAGTCACAATCACCTGTAATTTACAATATAAAATGCTCTTCCGCTCAGTTTGGATAACTGAATTTGGGTTAAAAAAAGTGGATGCAAAACTCATTGATTTTTAACAAATCCAGGTAAACATCATGTGCATCAGACGTAGTAAACGATCCCAGAGATCTCAGCAGCGTAGCAACATGTCACGTAGTAAACGATCCCAGAGATCTCAGCAGCGTAGCAACATGTAACGTAGTAAACGATCCCAGAGATCTCAGCAGCGTAGCAACATGTAACGTAGTAAACGATCCCACAGATCTCAGCAGCGTAGCAACCTGTAACGTAGTAAAAGATCCCAGAGATCTCAGCAGCGTAGCAACCTGTAACGTAGTAAAAGATCCCAGAGACCTCAGCAGCGTAGCAACATGTCACGTAGTAAGAAAGTCCCAAGGATCTCAGCAGCGTAGCAACATGTAACGTAGGAAACTATCTCAGAGATACCAGCAGCGTAGCAACATGTAACGTAGTAAAGGATCCCAGAGATCTTAGCAACATCGCAATATATCCTGTACGAAGTACGAGGAACGTTAACATGCCCCCCCACCCCACCCCACCCCAACCCCAACCCACACTAACACGGCAATATATCCTGTACGAAGTACGAGGAACGTTAACATGCCCCCCCACCCCACCCCACCCCAACCCCAACCCACACTAGAGATCTCAGCAGCGTAGCAACACGTAACGTAGTAAAAGATCCCAGAGATCTTAGCAACATGGCAATATATCATGTACGAAGTACAAGGAACGTTAACATGCCCCCCCACCCCACCCCACCCCAACCCCAAGACAAAGAGCAATACTCAAAAAAGAAGCAAAACGCACGTACGGTTTTCCTGCCGTAGGCATATACATCATATTTTAATATTTTACACATATATTTGGTGTTCATTATTAAGAAACAGTATCTAGAGACATGTTTTCAAATTGCGCAGTGCTCAGGAGCCAGCCCTGCCTGGAGATCTCTTCATTTTGGAAAGCCCTCCATATGCGATGTCCAGTACTGCCTCCTTCAACATCAGCTTCATGTATCACATGTTCGGCTTGGGCATGGGTGGGTTGCTTGGTGGCAACATAGAAAAAACTTCATTGTGATTTTTGGAAGGTCAGATGAGAAACCTCCGGGGTAGACATGGCAAGAGTCAATTTGAATTCACCAACCCAACCATTCAGCAAGTTTCTAGGGAGCTATGTCATTTAATGTCGTTCAATGAGAAAGGGTCACCGCTACTCAACTCAATAGCTGGCGGATTGATCGCAAATAGATATACGTAGTGATTGCAGGTGGGTATCTAGATGAGTACGCAGTTACAAATGCATGGGCATACAGATATGCTATAATTATTATACGTATACTGTGTATGTATAATTATATGTATGTATGTATGTATATATATATACCTGGTTGGTGGTTTCAAACATTTTCTATTTTCCATAATATATGGGATAATCCTTCCCATTGACTTTCATATTTTTCAAGATGGTTAAAACCACCAACCAGTATACATGGTCCCGTCCTCCGTCTCTCCACCCACCCCCCCCCAATGGGTTGGGTCCCCAGGTAGCACCCCCCCTTCCCTTCTATTTGCAAGCTATTGGCAGCATTTCTGAGGTCCAGCTTCGTATTTGCTAGGTCTTTGCAGCATTTCTGACTACCAGCCTCGCATTTACTAGGTACATGCTACCTTTTGGGCGTACCCAACAGACTTACATACCATACCTACCATCCATACAATACCAACCATTCATGCCATACATACCATACCTACCATACATACCAAACATACCATACTTTCCAAACATGCCATACCAGACCGACCATACACATCATACATGCCCAACATACCATACCACACCCCCACCACACCACAGGGCAGTGCCACACCCCCGCCACACCACACGGGGGGGCAGGGGGAAGATCTCATATGGGGGCAGTATATGGCTATGGATCAATACCTATAGATACATTTTTAGTGGGATGAACATCCATTTACCAGCTATTTTGATGTTCACCAGGGGTACAAGGTTTTGACACACTGCCATATGGGACCCATCCCATGGGGGGGGGGTGGCAGGGCCTGGTGCATACATAGAACTGATTCCCCATGAGTCGGATGTCTGACTCGGATTGTGCCGTTTTCGTAGAGGTTGCATCTCAAAGCGAAGAATGGCACCGGCAGTTGGGAGGACATTTGGAGTGTAACAGGTGGGATGCGCAGGGCCGGACATGTGGTTTTATTTCAAGAAATGACAAAAGGGATGATTTTTTGGGGCCCCCAAAAATGCTAAGTTTGGTAGGGACACTTATCTATTATCAACTTTAGTAGGGAAGATGCTGATGAACCATCCAATGTGTGGGGGTACGCTATTTTCAGACACACCCAAATGGGGAGGCATCGAAAAGAATTCTTTTGACTTCTCTCTGTTTTTGTTGCCATGTTTTCTGTAGACAATGATTTGCTCCTCACAACTTCTCAATTCAGATTTTTTCATCCCCTTTTTCTGGAAAATCCCAAACCGACTCAGAAGGGCAATTTTCATATTATCTTTCAATAGTATTAATGTGGTACACCCAATTTCGTTATCGGAGTGGTTTATGAGGGGTTTCCCCACATAAGTTGTTTCATTGAACTGACACCATTTCTATGAAATCCTTATTCCGATATCAGAATTAGGATTTCTATTATCAATTTTAATATATATATATATAATATATAATCTTTCAATCGTATTAGTTCCTTCACCAAATGTTTGTTCCTTCCTTTTTTTGAACAGCAAACATTTTTTTTCATATCTCTGGATGCTTACTATCACAATTTATAGCCATCAACAATAACATCACCTTTATTTAGGACAACAGTATTATCCCATTATAATAGTCAATCATCATAATCCCGATTGTTGATGGATTGTTGATGGGATAGGATCAACCGTGTTCATGATATCATATTATTGTTGAGGACGGTCCCACACATTGGATAGGTCCCATTTCATATCCCCCATTTTAACATAGGGTAATATGATATCATATGGGGGATATCATATGATACCATAAAACTATGTTTTTTTTAATGGGGGATACCATACTAAACCCTTAATAAATCATATATTTTAACCATGGTATCCCCCCTATTTTAAAGGGAAAAATCCTGGCACAACTCACCGTTCACTGCGTCCCGTTTTAGGTGACCGCGGTGACCAGTGGCTCCCGGTGACCCTGACGGTGCCTCCAGGATTCGAGACCTTGCGCTTCGATGCCATCGCAGGCACTGGAAATGCTGAAAATGGCTGTTTTAATAGCTGATTTCTAGCTGATTTCATGCTTGACATGGTTGATTTCCACCAAGAACATATGGATAAGGTGATTTCAACCAAGAAAATATATGGACTTTTGGTTTGCCCTCTGGTAAATAATTAAAGTTGGACCCTGAAAATCAGCAATTTTTTGAATGGAAACTAGTCTTCCAAGGTCTATGTGAATTTACTGGAGGGTATATAGTTCATCTTTTTTGGATCAGACAAGACAACATGGAGGATAACTGGGGGTAGCCCCCAGAGGAAACCTCCATATTAGTACTATGGGAACTAGCATGCTGATTCACCACGATCGACACCATAGAGTCTTAGAGATCAAATGTTGATCGCTGCAGCACAGAAGAATATAGAGAGATTTAGATAGACTTAGATAGATGGATAGGTGGAGACTTGGATTTAGATTCATATATATATATTTATAATATAATACAATATAATATATATATAGGCCTTGAATTCAGACTTAGATTTAGATGAGGATTTTGATCAAATGATCGATCGATGGTATCAGACTGGACCGCACCGAACTGGAGTGGATTGATTTGATTTGATTGACTGGATTAGTTGGTTTCATTTCATTGAATCACTGATTTAGATTCGGATTTATTTAGGTAGACATATTTTTGATGATTGATGACTAGATCGATTTCTGATGAACAGATAGATGGAAAGATGGAGGGATGGGTGGATGGATAAAAAGAAAGAACGAGGGAGAGAGATGCTTAGATGGATGTGGGTAGATTTAAAGATATAGTTAGATAGATTAGATTCTTTTTTTGGGTAGATTTTGCGAGTCTCCAACAGATGTAGATGGATTCAGAAAGACTCAGATAACTATAGATAACCTATGATAACCTTAGATAGATTTACCTGGGTTTGTAAAGCTTTATAAATGCGTTCAGATAGCTTTAGATAATTTGATACAGCCTTAGATAGATAGATGTTGATAGATTCAGATCGACTAAGATAGATTTAGAGTTAGAGATAGATTTTGAGATAGTTCTTGAGATACGTTTAGATGACCGATTTAGACAGAACGGAAGATACATTTCGATAGCAACACGAATTTAGATAGATTAACATAGATTAAGACAGATTAAGACAGTTTGATTTGGATAAATTGATTTAGATATGTTGATTTATATACGTACACATCATGTATATATATATAGATGGATGGATGGATGGATAGATAGAGATAGATAGAGATAGATAGAGATAGATAGAGATAGATAGAGATAGTTAGAGATAGATAGAGATAGATGGAGATAGATAGATAGATAGATAGATAGATAGAGATAGATAGAGATAGATAGAGATAGATAGAGATAGATAGAGATAGATAGAGATAGAGAGAGAGATAGATAGATAGATAGATAGAGATAGATAGAGATAGATAGAGATAGATAGAGATAGATAGAGATAGATAGAGATAGATAGAGATAGATAGAGATAGATATAGATAGATTTAGATAGACTTAGCTAGATATGATTAGGTATAGATAGGGATAGAGATAGATGCACACACACACACACACGCATACACACACATACACGCGCACATAAACATATACAGACAAACAGACAGACATATATACATAATTGAATACATACATGCATACATACAGACACACATACATACACATAGATACATAGATACATAGGTACATAGATACATAGATACATAGATACATACATACATACATAGATACATACCACAATATAAAATTACATTGCATTTTATTCCATTCCGTTACGTTCTCTTACAGGACATACCATTACAGTACCTTATGTGATATTACAGCATTAAATTACATACACACACACATTACATACTTGCAGACAACATACATGCATAGATCATAGATGGATAGATGGATTAATGCACATATAGAACGATAGAAGGCGAGAAAGAAGGAAAAAAAAGGTTAGATAGATCGGATTAGATTAGGATTAGATTAGATTAGATCATATTGTATTGTATTGATCGGATTTCATTGGATTAGATAGATAGGTAGACAGATAGATGGGTAGATAGATAGAAATATAGATAGATAGATAAGATAAGATAAGATAAGATAAAATAAGATAAGAAGATAGATAAATAGATAGATAGATAGATAGATAGATAGGTAGGTAGGTAGGTAGGTAGATAGATACATCAATATATATTTAGATCATTTAATAGGGTGGCAAATAGATATAGTCATAGATTCTCATTTGCAGCAGAAAACCGGGGGTATACGTAGCCGCTACGGGATTCTGCGCGAGGTGCTGACTGGCGGAGTGATATTGCCATTGATGCCGTCACGATTCACACCAGCACGACAAGTACCACCACGACCACTACGCCCGGATCGACGACTCCCCCGGCAAGTACAGGCTGGCTGGATTGTGATGGCTGGATCAGTCCGGATCTGGCTGTTTGTTGTTGCCATTGCTCGAAAATGAGCCGCGCAGGATAGGTGACCTATTTGTTTTTGGCCTTGGTTTTGGACGTATTTTCTCTTTCAAATTGCCAGTGGAAACAATGTATTGGAACTCAAGTCCTGAGTTGAAGAGTTTCTTGAGCACTGGTGACTTTCAGGATGAGACGCACTCAACACAGTGGATATGATATATATATATATACATACGTATATATGTATACATGTTCTGTGGTGAGTTATGGATTCCAAAACAAAAACGCAAATCGTGAGCCGGACAACTTGGGTTCTGTAGCGCAGGGGGGATGGGTGTGAACAAAGCAATGGGACCATTTTAAACAGAGTCATTACCATCCATTCACCAAGCCGTTGTGATTCAATGGGATTTAATGGGATTAATCCAACCAACCCACAGCTGGGTTCCCGTTGTAGGAATCGAAGCATGCGTTTGCGGTTTCGGCAACGGGTTGTGCAATTGGACCAGCAGCGGCAGCCACCAATGGGTTCGACACAGCGGCTCAACGACCAGTGGCGGCACGGGACCGTCTGGTGCTCATCAGGGCAACTACTATGTCTATGTGGAGGTGTGGTGTTTGGATTGGAGGGTTTTCCCAATGACCCATATATATTTGAAGGCTTACGCCTGGCACCTAATGGTTCCGGGCCAACATTGTGATTCTTTGCAGGTGAAGAAAACTGGTTTTGTTTTTATGTCTTGTGGGTTGTACCTACCCTGCTAGCTTTCGTTCCTTACTCATTGCCTTCAAGTCTCTTCTCTGATGCACTCCCCCTGCTTCAAACTGGGCTCTACGGATATCTATGCGATACATCATTGACAGTGCGTTAGTATAATGATAAAAAAAACATGCAAACTGCAAACCAGAACACATGGACAGACGTTGAGAGACTAATAACAGCAGACACTGGTACATGAGCAAGTATCTTTCTTTGATGCACCATTCCACATATCGGCCCCCCAAAACTGCGTTGACGTAGAATGGAACTCCTGGAATTCCAGTAGCTCCACGCATATCTCCGAGTGGGATAGGCTCGAAATTATTGAGCTTCAGACTTGAATGCTTGATGGGTACCTCAATTACTACTGTAGTTTGAATTTTTGCTGTAATACTTTGAACATCCTTCAACCATTGCCTAGAAATCGGGACCTCGTAGCGTCACGTTGCTGCACTGACACGATTGTGTCATCCGTGCAGGCCAGCAGTCCGAACTACCCAGACAAGATCTTTATCATGGAAAGTCCAACCTTCTCGGCGGGACCTTGGCCACGCGGACTCTACTTTGCCTACAGCAACAGGGTGGCATCTTGAACATTTTCGCCAACAAAAAGCATCAATAACCCACCAGTTTCTGAATAAGGACCAATTTTAGTAGTTTTAATGGCTCATTTTGGGTTGACATTACCTGTCTGGCAGAATTTCCCGAAATGGTCTTTTCACCATCGCATGTGAGGCATGAAAGGCAGCGCCATGGGCACTCTGACGCTCGAGTACACAGATGGAGCAGGCCGACAGCCTTTGTGCGCTCGGTGCTTTCCGCCCTCTCAAATGATCTAGCAGAGAATTCTACTATATTGATCTATATTGTATAGCCATAAAAATGGATGTTTGATGATGTTTGCGACTCCGAAGTTTTTAAAAAAACCCATAGGGCGCTTTCATCACTTTCGGTTTAGTCCATTGTTGCAGGCTCGTGGACCCCGATTTGGCAGAAGAGCGGAGACCAAGGAGGGACGTCCCAGAGAGAAAGTGAGCAACGGATTAGCAACGGAGCAACCACGTCAACATGAATGTTATTGCCCACTCCCCACCTGACAATACAAGATATAGAAGTTTTTGAAAATGTGTGCATGATTTTCACAGCACTGTCGGATCCAACATGCTTCATCTGTGGTTACACTATGCATTGTGTGGATACGTAAGTGATCTCAGTACGAACAGAGTAGAGTCTGTGAGGAAGGAAGCAAGTGACGCAGTAAGTCAGTAAGTCAGTGTGATTATCCTTTTTTGCCATTCTTGTTTTGTTTCAGTTTCGATGTTTGTCAGCCAGTTGGTGTACAAGCCAATACAATGCATGAGTCTTGCATACGTCTCTCTGAACCCAAAAAGCATCCTACCTTTTGTTGAATGTCACAAGTCTTCTGTTATTTTTTGAGAGCGGGGGACTGTGGGAGTGCGCTTTTTTGTTTGTTTTACAGTGTGTTGTTGGTGCTAATTCTTCATACACATACATCATCATGCCTAATGTCTCTGCCAAGATGATGCCACCAGCCAAAAGAATCAGCACAAAATACAAATAGTCGGTGGAGGGAAACAGTATTGAGAGATTACTACACCCTAGTACGCCTAACAAATTTGAAACAGCTGCAAATGCAACCCTTTAAGCACCCATGCACACTATGAGGCATTCATCTACAAGATATAGTGTTGCCTTGACAAAAGTCTTCATTTCATACCTACAAAATATAAACTAGCCCGTGTAGAGTGTAGTCTTCCTTTCATAGTAATATTAGGCCTGCCTTCAATCATACAGTATGTCTTTCAAAACATTAGATTCCTACACAATATGCGGTGCGTGATTGACATTCAGTATTAATGTCAAACGGTGCAATGGTCAATGCACATTGCAGCATTCCTTGAAACAAGAAAGATTACTGTTGAAGAAACATATGCTTACAGGTTGCAATCTGCATTATTCTTGCAAGAAAACTATATATAATTGTGGAACAATGCCATACATCCTTCAATGAGGTTAAGCCTAATTCTCATTTTTCCTGCATGGCATTTGCTTTTAATGGAGAGACTTCACTTCTTCAAAAGAATTGCCCTGAAGACAAGATAATTCCTGAAATAAAAGGCAATATTCTTGCAGATATGCAAGATGTGAACAAATGCAATACATCCTTAATGAAGTTAAGCCCCAGCATCATTTTTCTGCATAACATTTGCTTCAAAAGGACAAAATCCACTTCTTAAAAATGATGTTTTGTTTTGTTCAGTTGTTTCACTCATATGGAAGGGCATACTGCATACATGCAATCATGTCTCTTCCCAAAAATATTATATACATACAATTCTACTTCACAATAATGCTTCTTTGTATCATTGCATGATTTTCAATCAATTGGTTCACAGCCTTATCAAGGTATCAAGGAAGCTTTGCACATACTTGCACCAACAGGTTCTTTTCGGAAGACCATAATCATTTAAATAGGTACTCAAAGGATTCCATTCTGACACATTGTTGTCCTTCTTCCATAGAGTCCTTTTACCTCTTTAAAGTATCTTTGCACGGCTGTCTCTTTGAACATGACTTTGGATTCATTAATTTCAAATAAATGCGGCACTCCCTTATCTAAGGGGACTGTACAAAATGATGCCACTTTATGCAAGGAAAGATGTGACTTTACGCTAGGAATGTCATATTCTCGAAAAAATCTTGCTGCACAAGGCATGTATTGGAGGGTTTTGTTTTGAAAACAAATGTCAAAGGCCATGCTGAAACTTGTTTGCTGATTATATTCTCAAGTCTTGGCTGCGTTTTATTTCCTCTCCTGGTTTCAAGTAACTTTCTGGGAGGGTACCCAAACCATGAGAAAATCCTGAGCAGACATGGGCCAACCACTCACGGACCTCCATTGTTTTTTTCCCAATGACTTTCGGGACTTTTGGGCAGAAGTTGCAAAAACCTCGAGAAAACCAAAAAAAACAAAAAAAATCAACGGGGGTCCATGAGTGGCCGGGACATAGGGTTAGTTTTTTTTTCTCCATTTTTGATTGTTTTCTTGGTTTGTGTTTAATAAAGCTAATCCATGTGTGGTTTGTGATCAGATTAAAGTTAGGCTTTTTAAACTAAGTCATATGCAGAACAGTTGCACTCCCACAGTCCCGTGTTCTGTTAATTTTCGTCATAAATAAATGATATTTTCGTCACATGATATGAATGTGAATGTAAGTCATCTTTAACTGAGTTTCATGTGGATCTTCTCAGGAGATGGCTGGTTCACTGATGGCGCAGAGGTTCCAGGCATTGCCGTGCAACTCCGCTTCAAGGCGGTGACAGGCGCCGTGCGGTTTCCGGTGATGGATAAAATCCAATGTTTAAAATGGAAAATCACCTACAGTACTCATCAAGTCTTGTTTTTGTTTGTTTTTTTCATTGTCAGTTATTCTTTTTTCGGGAGGGTAAAGTGCTCATTCATTTTTCTCATTCATTTTTGGCAGGATGGGTTCCAGGGTTTCTGGTTGTATGAACTGATGACGGATCCAATCAACCGTGGACAAAATCTTGCGCCGTATTGTTTGGCGCTTTGGCAGTTTGAGTTCAGGGCTGAAATGCTCATGGTTATTTCGTCATCCTCTCTCCAAAACCGTGGTTTGAAAACGTCAAAAACTTCACCTCCCAAATTGGGTGATGGGGAAATTTACATGAGCCCCCCCCATGGCCCATATTTACTGGTAAAAAGCCATAGTTTCCGGCGTTTCCGGTGTGCAAAACTCATCCATTGATCAGCATTTTGTCATGGGACCTGCCATGGCTACAACATGCACAGCGCAACAGCGCGCAGGCAGCGGCTTCAGGAGCGATTTTGCCCTCGACACCATTACAGCCTCAGAGAGCGCGCCAACACCTCCTCCTCCGATGCAAGCGTCTGCGGCAGGGACCTGTACCTGGATATGGGACAGGGGGGGTTGGTTGAGTGACTTTTGGAACCACGGGGTGGGGAGAATGAGACAGAAAAGATGAAGGTCTGTAGCTGTCAGAGGGTTTGCTTGATTTGTGGGGTGATCTCTCTGCGTAAAAAAATCGGTGCCAGCTAGGAAATTCCATCGTTGCACCGTTGCTCTGAGGCCTTTTCGAGCATGACTTTTGCAACTGGCTGAATGTTGGAGAGAAAGATTGGACTCGGAACAGAGCTGGAACTCCTAGCGCCAACACTGGACCCAGCGGAGCCAAAGAAGGTGCAATGGGGAACTTGTTGGGTGTTGCAAGTGCAGCTTGAGCTGGGTAAAACTGATTTATGCGTTTGATTTTTCCATTTCAGTAGCAAAGATTCAGGCCCCCAATAGCCACCTTTACTCTAGTGCGGTTTTCATCGAAGGAAGTTTAGAAGTCAAACTTCCGACAATATGGACAGATGAAAAAGCAGAGGTGGAAAGAGTCAGAGAAGAGAAGAGAGGAAGAAAAAAAATCAGAGAAGAGAAAGAGGCAGAAGACAGAAGATGCAGGTACGCGAAAAGGTAGCAAAGTCGCGAAACACTGTGTCTTTCCAATGATTTGTGGCTCCGGAGGGTCGAAAAGTAGGCTTGCTAAAGTGGCGGGTGCGGAGCCATCTGGCCAGACGAGAGATGAAAAATTGCAGGCCGTTGTGGCGCGAAGCACATTTTCAAGTCAAAATGTTAAAAGCACCACATGCTCGGACCACTTTTGCAGGTTTAGATGTGGTTTTGTGTGGCAGGCGCAAGGGATTGTGCACCTTGTCAACAAAACGTGAGGGTTTTGTGGCATTTCCAAACATGATGGCAGGCGTGGGACATTTGCAGAGGATCTGCAAAGATGCATTTTCTGTGGCAGGCGCAGTACAAGAGACATGTTCATCAGAGATGTTAGGAGGTCAGGGCGCTGATTTCCTGAGCACGGTTGCATTTTGGAACATCAGGTCTTCAGGTTTCCTAAGATGATTTTGCGTGACAGGTGCAGCACTTCGTATGACCTGGCCTCAAAATTTCGTGGCAGGTGCAGTACTTTAGACAGATGACAGATAGAATGGAAAAATTGCAAAACGCATTGGCACGAGGCCCTCAGCTCTGCACTCAACTTTCCATTTTTGAAGGAAGTCTCGCAGAACTGCGTCGTTTTTGATGTTGTCAACTTCCAAAAGTGAGGAAGCCTCGCAGTTTTTTCGTTTTTGACGTTGTCAAGTTCAAAAATTGAGGAAGTCTCGCAGAATTGCTGCGTTTTGATGTTGTCAAGTTCAAGAATTGAGGAGGTCTCGCAGCATAGCTTCGTTTTCAAGCTTGCAGATAGATGGATGGATGGATGGATGGATGGATGGATGGATAGGTAGATAGATAGATAGATAGATAGACAACTACAACTTCAACTTCAACTTCGCCTATGCTACACTAGTACAAACACAACTACAGCTTCAAATGCAAATGCAAATATACTACGCTACATTACACCACACGAATTACACTACACTATGCTAATTACACTACACTACACTACACCACTTCCACTACACTACTTCTACTCCTACTACTTCTACTACTCCTACTACTTCTGCTACTTCTACTACTTCTACTACTTCTACGACTTCTACGACTTCTACGACTTGAACGACTTCTACGACTTCTACTACGTCTACTACATCTACTACTTTACTACTTCTACTGCTTCTACTACCTCTACTACTTCTACTGCTTCTATAGTACTTCTACTTCTACTACGTCCACTACGTCTACTACGTCTACTACGTCTACTACGTATACTACGTCTACTAGTTCTACTACTACTACTTCTACTGCTTCTGCTGCTTCTACTGCTTCTGCTTCTCTGCTGCTTCTATTGCTTCTGCTGCTTCTACTGCTTGTACGGCTTCTACTGCTTCTACTACTTCTACTGCTTCTACTGCTTCTACTGCTTCTACTGCTTCTACTGCTTCTACTGCTGCTTCTACTGCTTCTACTGCTTCTACTGCTTCTACTGCTTCTACTGCTTCTACTCCTTCCACTCTTCCTACTCCCACTCCTACTCCTACTCCTCCGACTCCTACTCCTCCGACTCCTACTCCTCCGACTCCTACTCTTACTCCTCATCCTGGGACTCCTGGGACTCCTGGGACTCCTGGGACTCCTGGGACTCCTGGTACTCCTGGGACTCCTGGGACTCCTGGGACTCCTGAGACTCCTGGGACTCCTGGGACTCCTGGGACTCCTGGGACTCCTGGGACTCCTGGGACTCCTGGGACTCCTGGGACTCCTGGGGCTCCTGGGACTCCTGGGACTCCTGGGACTCCTGGGACTCCTGGGACTCCTGGGACTCCTGGGACTCCTGGGACTCCTGGGACTCCTGGGACTCCTGGGACTCCTGGTACTCCTGGGACTCCTGGGACTCCTGGTACTCCTGGGACTCCTGGTACTCCTACTACTATTACTGCTACTACTACTGCTACTGCTACTGCTGCTGCTATTGGTACTGCTACTCCTACTGTGACTACTACTACTACTGCTACGACGACGACGACCACGACGACAACGACGACGACGACGACGACTACCACTACTACTGCTATTATTATTATTATTAATACTAGTCCTATTACCACTACTACCACTACTACCACTACTACCACTACTGCCACTACTACCACTACTACCACTACTACCACTACTACCACTACTACCACTACTACTACCACCACAGATACAACTACAATTACAACTACACTACGTGTCACTACACTACACGAATTACACTGCAGTACGCTACAGCTACAAATAAAATTGCAGCTACAACTACACTACATTTACACAACACTACACTGCACTAATTACATTACATTACAACTACAACTGCAACTGCAACTACAAATACAATTACCACTGCATTGCGCCACACTACGCTAAGCTACACTAATTACAGTACACCACAACTACAAGTACAACGACACTACTTTACACTACACTACACTGTACCACACTACACTTTACCACACTACAGTACACAACACAACAATACACTACAGTACACTACACCAATTACACCACACCACAAATACAACTGCAACTACGCTACACTATTTTACACTACATTACAACTACAACTCCACTACACTACGCTACAACTGCACTACACCACACTACACCCAGTAGTTGTCGTGAGGTGACCGCTGCAACCACTTTAAAAACACTACTCCAACCACCTTCGGGGCCATCAGTGGATTCACTCTGCCGTCCGTGATTCACAACAACCAGCCTCCCCTATGGGTCTTTTATTTTTGAAACTTCCGCCACCGCCTGCGCGGCACTACTGGTATACTTTAAATCGTTTTGACCCCAAGTGTTGCACCATCGAAGAACGCAAACAAAACAATGCGGGAAAATTTAAGACACACATTAAATCTCTGGACCTGTACTTTTCTCAATTAAACATATATGTATGTGGACACAAGGGCTCACGGGTAGCTGGGCAAAATATCCCTGCGCAACATGGCATTCAGAGTGTGATTTAGAAAAAACTAACTCTGTCATCATTTCAACCGGAAACCAACAGCAACAAATGCTACTTTGGTTCGAAATTGTTTCTTAATTTGATAATGTAATCTACTTTTCTATTTGATTATGTACATTTATTATTTGTTTTTATTACTTGTTTCTTTAATTCATTCACCTGTCCTTTCATCAGTGTTTCGGAAAATCGGTTTGTTCCTCAGCTACTGCGGTCCTGGCCATCGAGGATCAGTTAATGTTTTTGAGACATTGGCTAGTTAGATTTATTGTTCTGCACGTTATGCGTTTTTCTTTACTTGGTAAGTTTGCAACTGTTGATATATATATATATATGCAGAGTCTTGTGGTGAGTCGCGACTTCGATTCTATTTCCACATTGGCACTGTTTCAAAAAGTATTGGTATGATATTAATATACATATCTCCATTTCTCTCCGTTTAAGTGCGACAACTCATGCGCCTTCTATCCCCTGGGAAACTCCTAGAATCGGAGGATGTGAAAATTTACGGTTGAAACCTTTATATTTGAAAGTAGAAACCCTGCTTTCCTGTGGATTTTTCCTTAAACCAATCCATTGATTCTATTGATGTTGGCTTTGCTGTGGAGGCCATTACTACATCTACACGGAAGCCAGTGGATCGAACAAGAACAAGGTCTTTTCTCTGGAGACTCCGAGGTTTGTAGTAAACCCCACCATGACTACACTGGTCAACTTCTGGTACCACATGAAGGCAGGACCTCAGGACCTGGACCACCTGGCCATGGAAGGGAACCTGGACCTGGACCACGAAAAAACAAAGGGAACACAGAATAGGATGAATATGGATGAATATGGATGAATATGGATGAATAGGTCAAAGGTCAATAGTTTGATTTGCTTTTCTTCCAAATTCACTCTAGTTTTCTCACAGAACCGACGACACGTCGGTGCTTGTTGTCTTGTGGTCAACCGTGACTCGTGATGCACAGGGCACTTCAATGGGGTCTCTCACTTTGTCGTACATGGACTCCGCGGACACCTGGCATTCCCTCTTTTCTGTGACTGGCAGTCAGGCCATGGGAACCATGGGAGTCATGGGACTGGGCCGCTTTTTGGTTTTTGGGATTTTCTGTTGGTCTTAATCTTCAGATCCAGGCAGTTCCAGGCAGTTCCAGGCAGTTCCTGATTCTGGCTGAAAAACCGACTGGATCTTTTCAGGGCGACGATTGGCTTGTCGGTCAAGCTGTCCTGCCCCTGGACGCTGTCGCCCTCCAGCTGAAGGGTCATACAGGCGCGGCTATGGCCATGATGCCATGGGTATCCCGCGGCTAGGACTTTAAGGGTCCCCTTGTGTCTTGTTCACAGCAAATTCCTGTTCTGTTTTCCATGGATATCCACTGGAATCCACCGCGTTGATTTTTGGGCGATTTTTCACTCTGATTTTGGACCCAAAAATAGATCTGAAAACCTGGCGAAAGCTGACAGGAAATGGCTGGTCCAGTGATATGGCTGTGGATGATATCAAGGTGGTTGAGATATAGCAGCCTGGCATGCCCAGCAATCGCTACTGTTGAAGGCCTTACCAGTAGTAGTGCGTCCCCTTTTGGGCGTCTTCTGATGGAGCGCATTTGAACTCCTGGAAAAAAGTGAGCGCTGTTGTTGCTCGGATTGGCGTTTGGGGCATCAGTTTGTGGGCCTTCAGAAGTCCATCAATCAATGGCAAATGCCATCCAGCTTTGTGTCTGTCTCATGCGAAACTCGCGCGATCTTCAAGGCAATGAGACGACCATGATTTTGACCATGATTGGCACATGTTTTTTACCCAGAAGAAAACTGCCAGTCCATAACGGAGACACAGCCGAAGTGCCAGCCACCATGCCATTGGCTTTGCATCAACGCTGCCGCGAAACACGCTGCGCAACAGCCGCCCGTGGCAGCCATGTCCCTGGGGCTCTCACCAGTCTGGCACAGGATCGCCCAAAGACCCTTGTGGGTTCTACCCTCTGGTAATTTAACATAGCTATGGAAAATCACCATTTTTAATGGGAAAATCCACTATAAATGGCAATTTTCAATAGCTATGTTAAATTACCAGAGGGTATTCACCATATTTATATACTGACTATATACTGTATATCGGTTGAATGATTGGGTTCAAGAATCCAATCATTTTCAAATTGGGTTGCACCCAAACTTAAAGCCCCTGAAAAAATATTGGTTTATATGATTGCACTTACCACATTCTATCGTAAACACGGTGCCGTTCTGTGGGTCTTCAGGTTGGGGTACCAATGGACCAAGAAATGGCTGATAAAGCATGGTCATCTTTGGTGTTTTCTTTTATGTGGGACATGTATCAGACATGGGAATTCCAAGGATTTTTTTTTACACAACTAGGGCCCCTTGTTGACCCACCGCGATGTGGATGGACCATGTCATCGGGTTTGATGCGATGCTTGATGCAGGCTACGTGTCAGGCGCAAATCTGCGACTGCTTACACCCTAGCTTTAGGCTGGGATGGGGGCCGCTGCCACAGGGGTACTTGGATGGTTTGCAGCGCAATCGGGTGGTTGCCCAGAAAGATCCAGATGATTGAGGACTGGAACCCCCCTGAAAATCCTTGGAGTCTTTCACCAAAAAAAGGCTTGGAGTGGTTTTTCATCTCCAGAAGTCAGGACATCCAAGGACTATGGTTCCCATGGTTCAAACCTAAGATATGACCCCTTTGAATGGCCCAGTTCTTGCAATCTCCTTGCTGGCTGGTCCGACACTCAGACCACGGGGTAGATGGCAAGATGGCACGCCTTTGTGTATGGCAACCGCCTTGTCTGGCAACTGATCAGTGGCATCGCCATCGTCATCGTCAGCATTTTTTCTTATCACGACTGTGTTCCAGCATATTTCATGATGTTAGAGATAAACATTTCGAAATTTCGAAATTCTCGTGTAAGTGCTCTTCTCACGTCGCCATTGAGCCATTGTTTTGCATCATTGAGCCATTGCCACATTTCCACGGCGCCCATCCCCGACGGGCGTCCGAGGTCTCTTGCATTCCTGTGTGGCTTCATTGACCACGCAGCGAGCCACCCAGCAAACTAGCCACGACTTGGAGGAGCCAGAGAGAACTGCAGTTGTGGCCC